CTACATCTTTGAGCTGTTTGCCGAAGCCCAGATCACATTCCAGACCAAGGACTGCATCCTGGACTCCCTGGACCAGGTCATCCAGCACCTGGCAGGGCGTAAGTTCCTGGCCACGGGCAGGCGTCGGGCCGGCTGTGTTTGCCACAGACCTGAGCAGGGCAGGGGTTCCAGCCCCACTCGAGGTGGCCACTTTGTGTCTAGGGATCAGCATGTCCCCTAGTGGCTCCCGAGCTGGCCCCCAGCCTCCTGTCAGCTGGCCCCTCCCCTGCTGGGCACTGAGGCCTTAGTGCCATTGACCTTGCGAGTGAGCAGTATCGGCAGTTGCATCCCAGCTGCGTCTCTGGGCAGTGAAGACTCAGTGGTCAGTGGGGGCTGGGCCTGTTGATTCTTCCACGCCAGGCCAAGCCTGCGAGGTCCTGCTGGGGCTGCTCAGGGGAACCTGCTCCTGCCCAGTGGGGAGTTTTGAGATGTAGGAGGGCCCAGGGGGGCTGGGGTTGGGGGTGGGGAGGCCCAGGGGGCTGTGTGTGGGAGTGGAGTGGCGGGCCCCCATGTGGTGGACTGCCGACCTCTCTGTTGGAGCCCACTGATGTCTGTGGAGACTCCGTCCCCCAGTTCCCTGTGTGCTGGGAAGGGCCGCCTCCCTTGGGTGCAGGCAACGTGCAGCTGGGACCAGGGGCCACCCCGCCCCTGCTGTGCTGTGGACCCAGCTCCTGCCCCACAGGTGCCGGAGTGCTCACCAACACGGCCGGGCTGCAGCGGCTCACAGACATTCTGCAGGTAGGCTTGTGCGGCCAGGCTGTGTCCTTGATGGGAGCCACGCGGTGCTTCCCTGCTGGGCCGGATTAAAGATCCTCCCCATGTGCTACTTAGCAACCCCTGCTCGCTCGCCCACACCGAGTGCACGCCGAGTTCTCGAGGGTCTGCTTTGCGTGTCTGCACTGCAGTCACACCCGGTGGCACTTGTGGCCAGAGCCCCACCCTTCTCTGGGCCACGTCCTGTCCCCTGGTGTGCTGTCCACAATGCTCTCTCCTCCACGTGTGAGGTCAGTGTCGTCCTGGGCCGGCCGAGCCGTTTCCTAGCCCGAAGGGAGGGGCAGGGCCTGCTTTCCCCGCGCGTGGCTGTGGGCCTTGGTTTGGGGTGAGCCGCATGCTCCGGTGATGGGGCGTCGTCCTCTCGGCCTGCTCGTCCCCGAGGGCCCTGATGGCGTGTGGGCTGCTGAGCCCCTTCCCAGTGCTGCTGTCCATGCTGCCCCAGCTGCCCCTCAAGGTCACGTGTGGTTGGCCTGGCTGCATCCCGGCCTGTGGCTGGTCGTGCTGGTGCGGGGAGGCAGCGTGTTGGTGGCTGTCGGCCCTGGGTGGGGCCAGGCACCATCTTGGCGGCCTCCTTAGCCATGGCCCACTGCGACACCGCAGTCCCCCGACCCGCGGGCGTTGGGCCGGGGTCTGGGGG